CATGAAACAGAACTGCTGCTACAGTATAATCCAGCATGAAACAGAACCACCACTGAAAACAGAAAGCAGATGTGTGATGTGTGCAGATGTTGGGCGATGACTGTGCGACCAGTAGACCTCCACGCAGACTGCTCCTCAGATGAAGGGCATTAATGATCCAGCAGCTCCAGCCGGACAGGAAGCAGCGACCGTCTTTGAACAAGATGGATTAACCAGAAGTCTCGGCCGCACGGATCAGGTTTGAAACAGCTGATCGTCCACACAGATCTGCAGCAGCTTCTTTGATGTTTCAGTGCCTTTAATTTGATTTGCTGCGTCGCAGTTGTGAGATCATAACCACTAACATCACTGACGGACATTTAGTCCTGTTTTGTTGCCAACATTTATGAGTCGTTTACGTTGAAGCGCGCACGAGCACACTCCGATGTGTGTGTGTGTGTGTGTGTGTGTGAGACGGATGTTACGTCCACAGAATGACCCCCGGATGAAAACAGTCAGAGGGAGAACAAAAAGTCTACGTCTCTTTTCTTCTGAAGAGGAACGGGGACTAAAAGCTGTCAGCATGTCAGTCAGTACGCACTCTGCTTTTTAATGTTTGCACCGATAAAATCACATCATTGTTGTTAACAGGGAGCCGTTCACATCTGTGTAAGTAAATAACTCTTCTTTTGCTGCTGCTTAAAGGAAGCAGAGCAGCAGCGCTGGTTTAAGCAGCAACAAACTGAAACTGTGCTTCATCAGGTCAGCAGTTTTACAGATGTGACAGATGTTGCTTCACAGCAGCGTGTGAAGATTAGTAAGAGATTAGAGTATATTGTTACCACGTGTAATCACTAAAAGACACTTCTGAGACTCATGTTTTATTGATAATAATACAGAACAGATGCTTAATGCAGCCGGCGGTGCTTCTGAGACTCGTTCTGACCTCCAGCCTCTAAAACAACGTTTGATCTGTTTTTATTTATCGTGTGAACGTTCATGAAGCGGTCACTCTGATCCAGTTTGCTTCTGGATGGTTTTCAGCATCGTTCTCGTCCCGCTGTTTTCAGCTATTCCCACAAATCGTGAATCAAAACGTTCGGCTCGTTCAGGACAATCCTGCTATAACTTTTGGTATTGGTGCAACTTTAGCTGTTTTAAATATTTAGCCTTTTCGACCTTTTTTTTTCTTCTCATAGAAAATGAATTGAGCTCATTTTGCATCCTTCAGATCTTTACATGTGTTTACAACCTTTTACTGCTCCTTTCACTTTTTGTTCTGCTTCAGCTTCTTTCAGCTTCTTTCAGCTTCCTGATGAAAATTATAACTTTTTTCTGCTACTTTCAGCTAATTTCGACTGTTTTTTTTCAGCTGTCCTTTCTGATTTATTTTGCTAACTACAACTTTGTTGTGCTTCTTCTAACGTCTTTCTGCTCCTTTCAGCTTAGTTCTGGAAGTTTCAGCTTTTTCTGCTATTTCAGCTACAGTTACCGGTACGGTAGCTGTTTTATGATAATTTCAGCTTTTTCAACTAATTCCATATTTTTTGCACTCATTTCAACTTTTTTCAGCCTAATTCAGCTAAATGTGCTCTTTCCACTCCCTTCTACTAATTTAAGCTTCTTTCTCCTGTTTTAGCTCCTTTTCAGCTGTTTTTTTAAATAATTTCAGCTTTTTTTCAGACAGTTTCAACTTTCTGTGCTCATTTCTGCTTCTTTCAGCCTAACTGGGCAAACACGTGTCCTTTCTGTGTTCTTCTGCTATTTTAAGCTTGTGCTACATTTTCAGCTACCTTTGAACATTTTTAGCTAATTTCAGCTGTTTTCTGATAAATTCAAGTTTTTCTTAGTAATTTCTGCAACTTTCAGCTTAGTTAACTTCTTTCTGCTAATTTCAGCTTATTGAGCTCCTTTCAGCTTTTTTCTGCTATTTCAGCTACTATTTAGCTGTTTTGTGCTAAATATATCTTTTTCAGCTAATTCCACATTTTGTTAACTAATTTCAGCTCGTCCCACTTGCTTCTGGTAGTTTAAGCTCCTTTCTACATTTTCAGTGACTTTTCAGCTAACTTTTTTGCTATTTTCAGATTTTTTTAGCTGATTTCCTAATTTTTGTGCTCATTTCTGCTAATTTAAACCTAATTCAGCAAATGTGTGTTCTTTCTACTTACTTCTTCTAAATTAGGCTCCTTCTTGCATTTCAGCTACATTTCAGCATGTTTTAGCTACTTTTAGCTGTTTTTCAGCAAGTCCTTCAGCAATAAGCATTCACAGAGTGTTTTCACAGGAAATGTAATTTGTCTGGTTAGTTGTCCGTTAGCAAAGCATCTTATTTTAACGAGCTCTCAGAAAGGTCAGAGATTGACCTTTTGATCCAAGATGGCCGCCAACACAAAGCAGTCTCACTCAGTCGGTTTTACAGACTCTGAGCTAAACTTGGGCATGGTAGTTCCTGAGAGTTATCCAGAACAGCTGATTTAAGAGCTGACAGGACACGTGCCGTCACACGAGACTGAACATGAGCAGAAAAACAAATTCGTAGCTTCTCTACGAAACATCAAAGACTCGCGTGGTTTTAAGAGACGGTAATTCTTTAATTTCCGTCCTGAGGCAGCGACAACGTTCTCACCTGTTTGTCCAGAAACTCTCGGGCGTCCTTCTCGATGTGTCCTTCGTACAGGTTGGTGGTGAGGCTCATCAGGCCCATCTTGGACAGACCGAAGTCCGTCAGCTTGATGTGTCCCATGGAGGTGATCAGGAGACTAAAGGACGAGCGCAAACATTCGTTACATCACAAGAACCTTTGAGCAAAAACAAGAACGTTACTTTAAAGCTGCACCAGAACCCAATCCACATCTTAAAACGTATATTTGATGAGGATACAAACAGGAAGTCATGTTTCTGAGGAAGCGTTAACGGAACAGAGCAGCAGTGATGGTTGAACATTTGAAACTTCTGGAGATGTGTTGAATCCAGAGTGGATTATCTCCTCCAGGTCCACACATGCACCCAGAACAAACACCATGAAGCTCTGCACGAGGTGAGCTGATGAAGGACAAACTCTGAAGCTCTCTGCAGATCTGAAGTGGTTCAAAGTTTACGTGAGCGTGAAGACCGGCCTACAGAACCAAGAAGAAACGACGACACGTTTGAACGATGAGATGTTTGAGGTTGGGCGGCTTCAGATGTTCATGTTTGTGCTCGGCCCTCATTTTCATCCCACCTGTATTTCTACAGGTTAGTCTCAGTCGAGACCTCCCACTGAGAAGATTCTTCAGAGCTGCTGCTTCAGTCAAACACAGGAAGTGAAGAAACGTTCTGAAAACTCACTTCTCAGGTTTGAGGTCTCTGTGCACGATGCCGAAGTTGTGCAGATACTCCAGAGCCAAAACTGTTTCAGCAAAGTACATGGAGGCCAGCTCGACCGGCACAGCCCCGATATTCTTCAACAGAGTGGCGCAGTCGCCGCCTAACAAACAAACAAACAAACAAACAAACAAACAAACAAACGGGGTTTACAGAAGTCATTCGCCCGTTTTATAATTTGTACAAAACACTTGGTCAGGTTGAGCGTGACGCTGAGGTCGTGACCTCTGTATGTGAAACAGATCAGTCATTTAAAAACAGGATTTATTTTTAACTAAATGTTTCTGCAGTTCACAACACGTGACGTCACGTGTGCAGTTTTACACCTCGACAAGTCAAAGACGGTTGTTTTACCTTAAAATACTCGTATTAATATCTTAAATACAACTTCAGTACAAACTAACAAAGACGTGCACGTTGTCCTGTGAAAGTAAAATCCTATGGAGCTTCAGAACGTTTTGATTTAAGACGCAGCTTTTTGTCTCGCACTGCTGAAGGACTGTTGTGTAGTCTGCAGTGTTAGCAAAATAATCTCATCAAGTCGTGGACATTAACGAAACTCCTAGAAAGCGATTATTAGAAGTTCCTCTAGAACTGACAGCCCTTTGGAGTCAGCCCCATTCAAGATGGCCGCCACAGCCAAGGGACTTGACCAACACAGAAATAGTTCGGCAGACTTTACAAACATTCAGCTGAAACTGGTGTGGTAGTTGCTGAAAGTCATTCCTCACACGTGCTCCAAGTGTCCACCTTCTGTGACGTCTTTCCTTAAAACTTTAGCATCACCCTTTTTGTCTGTTAGCAAAATATCTAATGAACCACAAGACAGATGTTAATGAAACTCTCAGAAAGTAATCAGTGGACATATCTCTACAACTCAACAACTTCTCATGTAAGCCCAATTCAAGATGGCCGCCACAGCTAACCGACATGAGCCAACACAAACACAGCTGGAACTGGGCTCATCGGACAGATAAAGAGCTAACGTTCTCGTCGCAGCTGAGAGTCGTTCCGACTCATCTCATCACGCAGGAGAAGGTGCAGAGAAAGTTTGACCCGAACAGTTTAAACTTCACGCCTCATCAGACGATGATCTGTGTTTAGAAGATGATCTGTGTTTAGAAGATGATCTTTGTTTAGAAGATGATCTGTGTTTAGAAGATGATCTGTGTTTAGAAGATG